TGTTTCTTTCTCGACAGGCCCCCAAAGGACGCCCCACGGGACGGCTCTGCGGCGAGGTGGCGCTCTTGCGCTCGAAGGCGTGCCGCGCACGCGGCGGCGGACGCGCCCCATGGTGGCACCACAGACAGGGGGCCCTCTGGCGCACGTCTCTGGAGCAGGGCCACGAGCGCGGGTTGGTAGCTCCTTGTGATCGAGGCGGGGCTCGAGGATCGATCTTCGAGGTCGAGGATCGACGAGGATCGAGGATCGAGGATCGATCTTGGAAGGCCACGAGCGCGGGTTGGCGCCTCCTCGTGATCGAGGCGGGGCTTGCTCTGTGCTGTCGTTGGCCAGTGACCCTCGGCAGGCTGGCGCAGGCCCTGAGCTGTTCCCTCCGCCAAGTGCTGGCCAACACTGGGGTCGCTCACTAGGATCCGTCCTCCTCCTGCTCCTGCTCCCGCTCGTGCTCCGCGTCCTGCCCCTGCCCCTGCCCCTGCCCTGTTCCACCTCCGTCTCCTCCTCCCCCCTCCCCCTGCCTCGTCCTTCCTCCTCCAGCTCCTCATCCTCATCCGCTCGCCTCCTCAACCCTCCTCCTCCCTGCTCTTGCACCTTCATGCTGCCCCTCCCTCACTATCTTCCCAAGTGTCCCTCTTTCCTACTCACTCCTCTTTCCTCCTCTTCATCCTCCCTCCTGCCTCCTCCTCCATCACTAGTCGTTGTCCGTTTCCTCGTTCTCCTTCTCCTCCTCCCCCTCCTCCTCCCCTTCTTCCTCCTCCTCCTCCTCCTCCTCCTGTTTCTTCATCATGATCACTACCACTAACATGTCTATCATAGTCGGCACCTTTACCATCACCATCACTATCACACTTACCGTCACAAGCATCGCCACCCCCGCCACAATCATCATCATCACCATCATCATCAGCATCATCAGCGCAAACATCATCATCAGCATCAACATCATCATCATCCAAATCACCATCATCATCATCATCATCATCATCATCAACATCATCATCATCACCATCACCATCATCATCATCATCATCATCATCATCATCATCATCATCATCATCATCATCATCATCATCATCATCATCATCATCATCCTCGGCCTCGTCTCCTCTTTCCCTCAACCCTTCTCATCCCCTTCCCTTTCCCTCCGCCTCATCGTCCCCCCCATCCGTCAATGTCCTCCTCGTCCTGTTACCATCCTAGCCGTCGGCGGATCCAAATCGCGCGTTCCGACCACTGCACCATGACTTATCGACTGGCCGCTCATCGGGGCAAGGAGCGACACCCGGAACGGCAGCGGATGGTAGTGGTCGTTCGTGAGAAGAGCGAAATGCGCACGAACGAAGACACGCGTGCACACACACACACACACACACACACACGTGAAGCGGCGTGGCTGTGCGATACTACCCGAGAGTGCATAGGCGACCCCGTGTTGAAAACGTAGGCGGCGCATGGCGGAGTGCCAAGGGCAGGTGGGCACACACACACACACACACGCAGACACACTCGTAGACGTTCTCCTAGGCGAGCGCTCGCTCGGCGACGCGCAGGTCACAGTGGCAGGGCCAGGCGAAGTGTGGGAACCAGCGCAGGTAATCGAAAAAGGGACGGCGGCACACACACACACACACACACACACACACACACACACACACACACGCACACACACTGAACACACACAGGCAGAGGTTACTGCTCCGGCGATCGGGTATCAATGGGGCGCGCTAGATGCAAACTGGGCCGCAATGCACGGGAGGAGAGGAGGAGATCCCGGCGCGACTGGAAGAGAAGAAGCCGGGCCCGCTCAGGCAAGTCCCGGCTGCGGCGGGGAAGGCGCAGGGGGGGGGAGCCAGTCGCGGCGCCGGGCAGCAGCTGGGGGGGGAAGGCAGCCCGACGGCGGCCGGCCAGTGCCGTGCGGAGAAGCGGGTACAACGAATGGGCAAGTATGGAACATCCAAACCTGCCAGTGCGATATCAGCCCACAGGAAGTACCAGATGGGGGTTGACATTGACAAGCAGATGGGGCCCACAGGAAGTACCAAATGGGGGCCCACGGGAGGACAGGTGGACGCACTCTCTCTCTCTCTCACACACACACGCGCAGATACACTCGTCGCGCACGTTCTCCTCGGCGAGCGCTCGCTCGGCGACGCGCTGGTCACAGTCGCAGGGCCAGGCGAAGGGTGGAAGCCAGCGCAGACAATCGAGAACAAGGGACGGCGGGACACATACACAACACACAACACAACACAAGACAACACAAGACAACACAGCACAACACAACACAACACAGCACAACACAACACAGCACAACACAACACAGCACAACACAACAACACACAACACAACACAACACAACAACACACAACACACACACACGCACACACGCACACACACACACGCACACACACAAACACAAACACACACGCACACACACACACACACACACACACGCACACGCACACGCACACGCACACGCACACGCACACGCACACGCACACGCACACGCACACGCACACGCACACGCACATGCACATGCACACGCACACGCACACACTTGTTCCCAACCATCCTGTAGTGTTGGGTTCCCGTTTTGAAGAGACAACGCCCCGCGTTTCGCCGTCGAATGCAGCGTCGTGTCCCGCGCTGGGTAGGGCGCCGGGTACGGCGCAAGGCACGTCGCCGGCGGGATGATTGTCGGGTGGGCCGTCCAGAGGGTTGCCGTCGGGAAGGGCGACGAGGGTGGCCGTGGCGGCCGTCAAGTGCAGCGCCAGGAAGGCTCTACAGCGGGCCGGCGTGAGGGCCGAGGGGCAGTGCGGCGGGAGGGCGGCCAGGAGGGCCGTCGGCGTCCGGAGCGGCGTCAGTCACCGAGTCGGGAGAGGAGCCACGAGCGGCGACGAATACGGCGTCGGATGCGGCGGGTGGTACGGCACCAGCCAGGTCGCCGGGAAGGCCGTCGAGTGAGCCGTCGGAAGAGCCGTCGGGGAGTGGGGAGGGGGGAGGGGGGCCGGGAAGGCCATCGGGTGCGGCGCAGGGAACGCAGGGTGCGGCACAGGGAACACACACACACACACACCCACACACACACACACACACACACACACACACACACACACACACACACGCGGACCAGGGACGACCAGGGGACGGATCGAAAAAAGATGAGGGGGCAATGGAATCTGGGGAGATCTCCTGGGAACCAGCCATGGCCATCCGCACACCCCTGGTCATCACCCCTCTCCTCGACGCCCGGTGGCTGTCGGGTCCTAACTCGGGCCTCTGGCGGCCGCTCGGGACGGCCCGGGCGCCCCCTGGAAAGCGCTCGACGAGGCGCAGCGCATCTCGAGACGAGAAAACCTCCCAGCACCAGCGAAAACGTCCCCCAAGAGCCAACGAGACCTCCTCCACCCCTCCTTGGAGCCCCACTCCCCCTCGGGGGCGACGATGGCGGCGAATAGCCCAGGGGAGACCAATACGTGTATCCAGGGGCGCCGACAATCCATGCCTTCGGCGAGGCTCCTGGACGAATGCGTGTCATGCCCGCCCCTGGGCCATCCCCGACATCCGACGCCTTGATTTTTCGAGACACGGGCACATGACCTCTCGACCACGTCCCCCGGACCGGTTTTCCATCCCGGGTCGTTTTCTTACTGTCCCGATCGAGGCCCAGTAAAGGCCCCTAGAGGCCGAAAACGATCACTTGTGGCGTCCAAAACCCGGATAGCGGCGCAGTCCAAAGCGCATTAAAGGCCTGTGGGAGACGCTTGCAAGGAAACTGGAAAGCATGCCTGGGGAGTTTGAAAGCTTGAGAAAGGAGCTTCGCTTGAGCTCCCAGGAAGCTTCAAAGCAGCTGCGGAAAAGCCTCCGGCAAGAGTATTGGAAACGAGCAGGAAAACGCTTGCCGGAACACGCTGCAGCTTCAAGCAGGCCGCTCTGGAAATGCCTGCCCGGCGCCGCTACCGGGCCACCAAATGATGCTGGCTTATAATATGAAGCCTTCTTAGCTCTCAGAGACCTATCCAGGAAAAAACCCTCCGTCTCGATTTTTTCGAGACGCTGGATGTCTGGGATTCGTCCCGATCTCGGGGGTGCGCAAACATGGATTCGCGATTCATGGATTTGGCGCGCGGTCGCCAAACCCATGGATCGGGGAAGGAGCCCTCCCCAAAATGCGGCCGACGACGCCTCGTTCGGCGGCGGAACTCCGCGATGTCCCATGGAAACGGGACCCGTCGCGAATCCAAGCCCCTTTGATCCATGTTTGCGATCGCCTGACAATCGTCGACCCCGATGGCCAGCAGCTCTCGACCACTTCCACGTCCACTGGACAGGTTTTTCATCCCGAGTCGTTTTTTGACGGTCCCGAGGCCCGGCAAGGGCCCCGAGAGGCCGAAAACGACAGGAAACCCTCCGTCTCGATTTTCTCGCCCCAATGGGATTCGGGATTCGAGACGCTGGATGTCTGGGATTCGCCCCAATCGTCGCCCCCGGGCCCCCGATGGCCAGCGGCTCCCCCACCTGGCCAGCGCAGCGCTGCGCATGGCCGCCCGTGGACACGCCCTGTCTCCCTGGGGGGCCCCGGAAGGCGGAGGCGCCGGGGTTGCGCCCGCGCAGGAGAGCGCGGGGGGGTCTCGCACGCGAGGGCTGCTCCCCCGCCGCCTCAAAAACCTGGCCAGGGTGTCAAGAGCCTCCTCCTCCTCCTCCTCCTCCTCCTCCTCCTCCTCCTCCTCCTCCTCCTCCTCGCTCCTCGCTCCTCGCTCCTCCTCCTCCTCGCTCCTCCTCCTCCTCCTCCTCCTCCTCCTCCTCCTCGCTCCTCGCTCCTCGCTCCTCGCTCCTCCTCCTCCTCCTCCTCCTCCTCCTCCTCATCCCTCCTCCTCCTCCTCCTCCTCCTCCTCCTCCTCCTCCCCCTTTTCCTACTTCCTCCCTGCTCGTCCTCCTCCTCCTCTTCCCAGCGATGCGCAGCTGGTCCACGCCGGCAGCAGCTGCGGGCTGGGCTGTGCGCACCTCGCCGGTTCCGAGGACGGCTATGAGCCACCTGGCGGCCGCGCCGTGAGCGGGCGAGGGAGGCGTAGGGGGCGCCTGGGCGGGTCGTGTCGCGAACAGCGGGGGCAGGAAATGAACTGATGTTGCATCTTCTTCCTCCCCCTCCTCCTCCTCCTCCTCCTCCTCCTCCTCCTCCTCCTCCTCCTCCTCCTCCTCCTCCTCCTCCTCCTGTAGGGAGGACCCGCGCGCCGCCGTGGCCGCGGCCGCAGCGCGAGCGGGAAGGGGAAGCACGAAATGGACTGACGTAGCATCTTCGGGGGACCTTGCCTGTCCCATCGCGCCCCTATCCGCGTCGAATCCGCGTCGAAACCACGCCAAATCTGTGTCGAGTCCGCATCGAGCCCGCGTCGGGCGCAAGACAGGGAGGTCCCCCGAACATGCAACGCAAGGGAGCGGAGAAGCGGGATGCGGATAATCCACGATAGCCCAGGAAGGCCGCCCAGGGCTCCGTGCACGTTTTGGGGAAACAAAAGCACTCACGGGCCCGTTGGGGCAGGCCGCTGTTGGTCATCAGCTCTAACCCCTCCGCCCAGACGTCGTAGAGGTTAGCGGTAAGTGGGTTTTTAGGGAAGCGGCCGATGGGAATGCGGGGGGAGGGGAGTTTTGGGTGGGGAGGGGAGGGGGGGTGGAGGAGGGGCGGGGAGAGGTGGGAACGTTTGGTTGTTGCCCACATGGCCTCAGTGACGTGGGGTTTGCCAATTCAGGAAAGGAAGCCAATCATACTCCTGCAGCACGTCGCGGAACAAGAGTTGGAGTATACACGCAGTTTCTGCAAGTACGTCGAGAAACGCCCCAAGCTTGCTGGCTCTCCCATAGCTATCCTTAGGACGAGAAGAATTTGTTGACACAACGTGCTATTGATACGTTCCGGAAATTCCGGAATTTCTAACAGCCTTCGCGCGGGGTACACTTTGCGTCGAGTATTGTCTACTCTGGCTGGCGCCGCTGGTGGGTCACCCATTCGCAATCGAGTGGTCGCCCGTAAGGGGCTATTTGGCAGTTGCTGACCCCCCTTCTCGTTGCCGAGCGCGGGGGGGGGCGATGGCGCACCGTCCCATCGCCCGCCGCCGCGCACCGCGCGCCTCGGCGGATTTCCAAAGACCTGGCAAGGCAAATCATGCGCGACTCTGGAAAAGTCCCCGGGGGAAAGATGAACAAATCCGGGAACGTTTTTGAACGTGTCCGGCCTATTTTTGAAAAATACCAAAATCGTTTTTGAAAATTTCCGGGATAAATTTTGAAAAAATCCCAAATCCGTTTTGAAAAATTCCGGATTTCAGAATTCTTCAGATGTCCTGCGCGGCGGGCGCATTCCACCCCTCAAAACGTTTTTTTTGAAAATTCCCGGGCTACTTTTTGAAAAATTCCGGAACCGCTTGCGCAAAACAAAAAAAACATAAGCGTTTTCTACCACATTCTACAATCCAGAAAAAATGTCCAGGCGGTCTGACGGGCGCGGCCGGCTGATTCACGCGCCGCGCCACGCGCGATTGGGCGCAGCGCGCGCCGCGCGTTGGGTCCGCGAACAGCACTCGAAGGGGCCACCTCGAAAACAGCGCCATGGCAGCTGCGACTCGCGGACCCCCCAAGAGCAACACAGCATGCAGCTTGGAATCTTCGAGGGCGCTCCGATGCGCGAAACATGCACCGCGAACATCGCGCAAAGAACCTGCGCGACGGAATGCGCTCGACCATTCGTCCCTGGAGCCCGCGCGGAAGAACAGAAAAACCTGGAAATCTGGAAAACTATCAATATCAATACTTCATGCTCCTCTGAATCCTGCCTTGCGCTCGCATTTCAGTTGTGTTTGCTTCCGGGCGCTAAGAACAACAGGCTGCAACCAGATACTACCATTTGCTCCCTCCACAGATCCCAGGCTCATCAGCTCAGGCACATATCTGGGAACGAGGAGAACCAGGCTTCCCTTAGGGCGAGGAGTAGTAGGCGGAGGGGGAAGGGAGGGAGGAAGGACGAAGGACGAAGCAGAGAGAAGAAAGGAGAGAAGGGGTGGAGGGGAATGTCACGATGGTTATGATGGTGATGACGATGACGATGAGGATGGCGATGCTGATCATGATAGTGGTGTTGATGATGCTGCTGATGATGATGATGATGACGATGATGATGATTATGATGATGATGACGAGATTGATGGTTGTGGTAATGATAGTGGTACTGATGATGATGCTGCCGGTGGTGATGATGATGCTGAGGATGCTGATGAGGATGATGCTGGTGAGGATGGTGATGGTGATTGTGAAGATGTTGCGACTGCTGATGGCGATGTTGATGTTGATGATGTTGTCTGTTGAAGATGAGGATGCAGACGAGGACGATGATGATGACGGTGACGATGATGATGATGCTGATGATGATGAATATAAATGGTGATGGTGATGACGCTGCTGCTGCTGACGATGGTGATGATGATGGTGACGATGATGCTGATGATGGTATGATGTTGATGGTGGTGATGCTGACGATGGTGATGCTGTTTCTTGGGGGTGGGCACTGGCCGCAGAAGGGGGGGCGAAGGTAGGCCCATAATCAAGCCACCTTGCATGCATATTCTACACTACACACCGTGCGATACACGTGAAAAGCCCAATGATGATCGATCGTGGTGAAATCAATCAGTCGGAGCATAACTACAGCAATGATTCTGCCCAGCGTCAAATACTTAGCATCTCTGTGTGAAGCGCATTGCATCGCCCCTCCGAGCGCCAATACCTTGGAGCATGCCGTAGGCTTCAGCTGGCGGGCCACAACACTCAAAGAACCAATCCCTCAGGGCATCCCAGGCTTCAGCATGTTCTATGCCACAACTTCTGGCCCAACGCTGTGCAAAGATGATGATGATGATGATGATGATGATGATGATGATGATGATGATGATGATGATGCTGTTGCTGATGATGACGATGCTGATGATGACGATGATGATGCTGGTGATGGTGATGGTGATGGTGATGTGGTCGTGGTGATGGTTGTTTCCCGCTCAGCTCTGCAGCGCACCAGGCCACCACATAACAATATCCAAACGAATCGATTAACGTAGTACGCAACTGGCGGGTTAAACAGTGCAGCTGGCGGCGCACACCAGCGAACCACAGAAGAAGGATGGAAGGCGGAGGGAGGAGGAGGAGGAGGAGGAGGAGGAGGAGGAGGCAAGGCTTCACGTGTGCCGAACTGGAAGTCGGTGGCACACCAGCGCTGCGTGGCCTTCGGAGGGAGCCCGCTGGGATCCTGGCGGGAAGGGCGACACCAAATCTCAAACAGCTATGCAAAAAGAGTTGGATCTTCGTCTTCGTGGGAAGAGGGGCCTTCATCTTGTCTTGGCTCCTTGGCGCTGTTCAGCACGAACGGGGAAACTACGGCGCTCCCTAATACAATCGTGGGAACGTGCGTGAGTGCGACAGTCTTCACTGCGAGGAGGCGAAGTCGATTCTGGCGGACACCCGAGGATCGTCGAGCTCACACTGCCATCGCTACTACCACTCATCATTGATGTAAGCGCCGTGTATCATTGTAGCCGGTAGCGGCGCCCACTGTGGCTCAGGCGCGGGTGGTGGGAGTTGGTGCAAGGCGTTGCTCGCCCGTACGCGTAAACGACGCGTCTTTTCGCTGCCGATCAAATCATTGGGCGCAAGCTGCTACACCAGCGCCCCTGCCATCGACCGTGTGTGGAAAGAGGGCCAGAACAGCCAACTGAACGCATGGCAATCGGAACGCCGACACGACTTACCGTGCGGGCGCGGCCGCAGGAAACCCAACCCTGAGAACCCGTGCGCGAGGTGCACCCGAGGGTAGACCTGGAGCACCCCGAACGCAGCAGCTCCCTCCACGGCTGCGGGAAGTCGCAGCGCGGCACGAGGGGCGAAGGAAGCCAGGATGCGCTGACGAAGCGCATATGGTTTCTTGCTGCGCGCCCCCACTGTACTGGCAGCCGCCTGTGGAGTCAGCACCCATAGGGTATCGTGGGCATCCTGGGTTTCTTGGCTCCTCGCGCTGCGCGGTGACTTCCCGCAGCCGTTGAGGGAGCTGCTGCGTTCGGGGTGCGCCAGGTTTACCCTCAGGTGCACCTCGCGCACGGGTTCTCAGGGCTGGGTCTCTTGCGAGGGTTTCTTGCGGCCGCGCCCGCACTGTACTGGCAGCCGCCTGTGGGGGGTCTACCAGGCGAGGCTCCGACGGGACCAGCTGCACCAGGGGCTGCGGAGAGCACGCTGGACGCACGGGCTCCGAGGTTCGCGGGGCACTCCCCAGCGAGGGTCGCCGCAGGGGGCGACGCTGGAGCAGCCGAGAAGGTAGTGGCCGCGCGGTTCACTCGAAACTTCGGCGGTACTCTTTCGAGACGGTGGCTCCAGAGAGTGCTCCGAGGCCAGCGCTGACGGAGTGAACTTCGTGGCAGAGGTGGTGCGCAAGATGTGCAGAAAAGGCGCATGAAGAGCCGGGGAAGCTATGGCAAACCCTCGGGGGTGAAGGTGGAGGCCTGGAGACTGGTGATGACGCGTTACCGCGGACAGGACTGGGTGCTGGAAGCAGCGCTACAGCGGGAGCGAAAGGAAGAAGCGCCTGGATCCGGAATAGCGCCTCGAGAGAGGAGTAGGTGGACCTCGCCTCCAGAGAGGAATAGGAAGAGGAGGAGGAGGATGAGGAGGAGGAGGAGGAGGAGGAGGAGAAGGACGAGGAGGAGGAGGAGGATGAGGAGGAGGAGGAATGAGGATGAGGAGAGGAGGAGAGGAAGAGGAGGAGGAGGAGGGGGAGGGAGGAGGAGGAGGAGGGAGGAGGAGGAGGAGGAAGAGGAGGAGGAGGAGGAAGAGGAGGAGGAAGAGGAGGAGCGCATAATCATGGAGAAAACCCTGGGCATATTCCTCCGCCGCATGTGCTGCTCGTGCACAGGCCGTGTGGTGGGCACAAGCATGCCTTGCGGGGGCCAGGCGCCACTGGATGGCCTGGGTCCAGTCTCCCTGCGACAGACGGCTGTGTGTACATTCCGTCATCTTCTGGAGATGAGGGACGTGGAATGGGGAAATAGGGGAGGGTGGATGTCCCCCTCCTCCTCTACTCTCGGCCTTCTGGAGATGGGGGAATAGGGGAGGATGAAGGAGGAAGAGAGGACGCTGCGCATCCCGTCGGTGATCGCCGCCCCGCCACAGCCACTTGTGATCGCAAGCGTCGTAGCTTGGAGAGCAAGGCTATGCGCTCCCTGACGCCTGCGTCGTGACAGACCGCATGCCATCCCGGTCCTCCTCCTCCTCCTCAGCTCCTCCTTTTCCTCCTCCTCCTCCTCCTCATCATCATCATCATCATGATCAGCAGCAACAGCAGCACCACCACCATCGCCAAGCCATAATCATGACCCTCACGACCGATGTCCGTCTTCACACACTCCTTCTGCTTCTCTATATCTCCTCCCACTCTACTCCTCCTGGTTCTCCAACTCCTCGTCCTCCTCCTCCTCCTCCTCGTCCTCCTCCACCTCCTCCTCCTCCTCCTGCACGTCCTCCTCCTGGCGCGGCGGGTCGGCTCGAGCTTCGCCCCCTGCACCCGCTGCCCACCTGCACGGAGGACAGGCCAAGGCAGGCCGGCTCCAGCTTCCTCTCTCCTTCTCTCTCTCTCTCTTTCTGTCTCTCCGTCTCTGTCTATCTCTCTCTCTCTCTCTCCTTCTCTCCTTCTCGCTCTGTCTCCTTCTCTCTCGCTCTCTCTCTCTCTCCCTCCCTCCCTCCCTCTCTCCCCCTCTCTCTCCCTCCTGCTCGCCCTCCTCGCTCCTCCGTGCGGGAGCCAGCCCGGCGGGACGGGGCGCGGGGCCCCTCAATGTTCGGCTGGACCGGCAGCGACGCAAAGGCCACGCGCGGCATGGGCTCGATCGCGATCTCGTTCTCCTCCCCAGGAGGAGGAGGAGGAGGAGGAGGAGGAGGAGGAGGAGGAGGAATACCCTGAGATCCTGGCGTCGCAATCTGCTCACGCCCCGCGATGTCGCCCTATTCCGGGCAGCAGGGCCATCACAGGTCGAGCCGGCCCGAAAAAAGCGGCAGAAAGAAAGGGTCTGGGGCTCTGGTCGCGATGTTTCGCGATGCTGCAATTCTTCAGAACGTTAGAGTTGAGGCCTCGACGCTCCCAAAGATACTCACCCCGCCGAAGCCACCCCTGGCACCTCGTGGAGGAATTTCTAACAAGGATCGTCCCCCCTGGGAACAGGCTCGTGGGTAACAGTATGCAGCGACTGCGCCAAGATGCCTGTCGCAATGACTAAGCCCGAGGGCGTGGATAGTTCAGGCGGCTTCAACAAATCATCTGCGAGCCATTCAGCTCAGAGCGTTGACCGCGCTCTTCGCATCGCTGACGCCAAATCTGAGTATGTGAGCCGCGCACGTAAAGTTACGGCGCAAGTGCGCGAGAGACCGTGGCCAAGGGTATGCCTGTGACCAAGTCGGACGTTAGCGGTGCCCTACGGGAAACGCCGAATGACATAGTTCACTCCGAACCAATGTTACGGATTCGCCTTCGGAGCCTTGGGGGGGGAAGGTGGGGGGGACCTACGCGAAACTCACTGTAGCGTTTACCTCTCCCCCCCCGTCTCCGTTCCCCTCCCCTGGAAGACCAGGTGGCACACAGAAGCAGCAACGAGGATCGCCGATCATGAATAACTGCCAGCTTGGTCGTGCGGGAGGCACACGTGCACACACCAACGATGGATGATGATGAGGATGAGTATCGTTTAACCGATCCCCATCCCCAGCGGCGTGGCCTGGGCCACACTGGCCGATTTGCCCCCTCGATGGGGATGTAGGTCGTCCCCTTCGGGTTTCGAGGGGTGTATCCCCAGCTGGGGGGGGGGTAATTTGGTGGGGGTCTCGAGGGGGATGCGGATGGGGATGGGGGTCGGTTAGACGATACTGGAACGACGAATGATGACGAGGAGGGGCAGGAGCGGACAAGGTCCTTGACCACGTCGTACCAACACTTCAGAGCCTCGCCCGTGTCCCTTCTCGCTCGCACGCCCGAGGGACAGAGGGCTCGCTGATGGCAGCAGACCCGCACGAGGCTCACTGACCCTGCTGGCCCTGGCAGCACAGCAGGAGCTCGACCACAGGAAACCTTCCACAAGAAGCCCAACCCTGGAACCCCCGGACGTCCATGGACGTTGTCTGGGAACGTCACGCTTTCTATGGGGCAGCCATCGAAACCCGAGAAACCCAGGGCATCCTGGAGGCAAGCAGGGTGTTGCTTGGCATGGGTCCCCACTGTAGTGACATCATTGCGCCGAACAAACAGCGCTTACCATTCGGCTCAAGTCGCCACCGTCTGCATAACCACAGGGGAGAGCCGAAAAAGACTTGCTAGCATCCCTGCGCCGCACATGGAAACCAGTAATGATCCAGCGCACCCGACGTGCCTACATCCGCATGCTACTCATCTGCGTGTTTTTCTCCTCCTGTTTCTCATCCTCCTCCTCATCCTTATACTTCTCCATCCTCTTGCTCCTCCTGCCCGTTCCTCCTCCTCCCTATTCCTCCGCGTCGTCCTGCTCCTGCTCTAGATCTCCCGTTCCTCCTCCTCCTGACCCCAACCTTCCCCCTCCTTCTCCTCCTCCTCCTCCTCCTCCTCACCTCCTCTCTCCTTCCGCACACGGTTCCTGCTCATCCCCCTGTTCCTTATGTCACCCTCCTCCTCCTCTTCGTGTTCCTCTTCTTTTTCCTCCTCCACATCCTCCTCCTCGTCACCGTGCTCCCTCCCTCCTCCCCCTCCTCCCCATCCTCCTCCCTCCCTCCCTCTCCCCCCCCTCCTTCACATCCTCCACCCCTATTCCTCTATACTGCTGTTCATGGTGCTTGTATTGCGTCGAGTATTGCTCATGATGCTGATGCTCCTGCACTTTTACTTCCTCCCCTTCATCCACCTCATCCTCCACCTCTTCCTCCTCCTCCTTCTCCTCGCCATCAGCGTCAGCATCAGCATTAGCATCAGCAGCAACAGCAGCATCATCGTCATCGTCAGCATCATCCCCATCATCAGCATCAGCACCAGCATCAACATCAGCAGCATCAGCATCATCATCAGCATCGTCATCAATATCGTCATCAGAATCAGCAGCATCAGCATATCAGCATCAGCATCAACAGCATCAGCATCACCATAATCATACGCATCAGCATCATCATCATTCTGTATCGTTACCATCATCAGTAGCATCAGCATCATCATCATCATCATCGTCATCATCATCATCACCATCATCAGCATCATCATCATCGTCATCAGCATCACCACTATCACCATCATCATCAGCATCATCATCATCAGCATCATCATCATCAGCATCATCATCACCACCACCATCATCATCATCATAATCAGCATCATCAGCATCAGCATCATGATCATCGTCATCATCATCATTATAATCAGCATCACCATCACAATCACCATCACCATCCACCATCATCATCATCACCATCATCATCATCATCATCATCATCATCAGCATCATCATCATATTCAGCCTCACCATCACCCTCACCGTCATCCTCTCCTCATTTTGCTTGCCCGATTGAACATGCCTCTGTTCTTGCTCCAGGTCCTCCTCTGCTCGTCCTCAGGCCCCTGCTCCTCGTCCTCCTCCTCCTCCTCCTCTTCCTCCTCCTCCTCCTCCTCCTCCACCTCCTCCTCCTCCTCCTCATCCTCCTCCTCCGCCTCCGCATCCGCCTCCGCCTCCGCCTCCTCCTCCTCCGCCTCCTCCTCCTCATCCCCCTTCTCCGCGCAGTGCGCCTGACCAGAGGCCCAATCTCAGAAGAGAGGAAGAGAGGTGGATGGGGAGAGGGAACGGAAAAGGAGGAGGAGGAGGAGGAGGTGAAATCAACGCTGTGAAGGAGGAGGATGAGGAGAAGTGGGGGGAGGGGGAGGACAAGGAGGAAGGTGAAGGATGAGGAGGAGCAGGAGGGGGAGTTTCATCTGAAGGCAGACGTTCTCCAGCTTGAAGGAGCTTGGAGGAGGTCGGGGTAGGAGGAGGGCGGAAGGCGAAGGAGGAGGAGGAGGAGCAGGAGGAGAAGGAGAAGGAGGGGGTAGAGACGGAGGGGGTAAGGAGGAGGAGGAGGAGGAGGAGGAGGAGGAGGAGGAGGAGGAGGGGGTAGAGACGGTGGGGGCAGCGGCAACAGCCTGGAGCAGGGGAGCTTGCGGGTGGACCAGATTGCTCCGCCACCCCGCAAGCGGCGCGACGGGGCCGCAACGGCCGTCTCGCCGCTCATCTGTGCCGACCCGCCGGGGGTGCCCCATCCGGCCCTCCCGCGAGCTCGCACCGCAAAATCCGCCGCGGTGCGCCCCGCCGTCGGCTCGACCGACGCCTGCTCGCTCCCGCGGCGCAGGCTCTGCTGCCCAGCCAGGTTGGCCGAGGCATGCCCTTGGCATCGAGATGCTCTCGCGAGTCTTCTGGCATCAAGATGTGGCCGCTGCAAGACGTATGTCGCGTGCCTGAGGCTGTTCGGATGGGCCATCGCGTGCAGGCCAGAGACGTGGGAGCGGTAGTTGAGAGAGCTTGGATCAAGCTTGTGTTCCCCCAGGCCCCTTGCAAAACATCAAGAGGGAAGGGCGTTCACATTGCACGGAGGTGGCAGAACATCGATGGAAACTCCACGTCCTTCCCTTCCCCATCCACTCCACCTGTCCGACGCCCTCTCTCCGTCCCCCCTCCTCTCCTCCTCCCCCTCCTCCTCCCCCTCCTCATTCTCCTCTTCCCCTCCCGTCCCATCCTCCTCTTACATCCTCCCCCATCACTTCCCTTCTCGACAACCCCGCTCAATCGCACCCCCAGACGCATCGGAAGAGCGGGCCGGGCGTGTTGCCTGAGCCTTCCACACCATCTATACTCCCGAAGTTTGACATGTGCAGCGGCTCCAGGGATGGAGCACACGTCCTTTCTAAATATGCGGTTACCGCCTCGGCGCTGCGCACATCCGCCGTAAAAGTTTGTAACCGTTTCACGGATGGAGCACCGGTCGTTTTCAAAATGCGAATCAGCCCTTATCGCCGCCCACACTCGTCGTTCAAAACTTGTAACGGCTTTGAGGATGGAGGGATGTTCCTTATCAAAGTGCTGCTCTCGCCTCAGCGCCGCGCACCTCCGCCTTAAAAGTTTGCAGCAACTACGAGGCTGCAGGGGGTCGTTTAAAAGATGGGGCTCTCGCCCTAGCGCCGCGCTCACTCATCCGAAACACTTGCAACGGGTACATAGATTGAGGCCAGCTCACTTTCAACGTGGGGCTTCCACATGAGACTTCATTCGGCAGTACACATACCAAAATTTTCAACATATGCAACAAATCGGCGGCTGGAGGGCGGCTACTTTGCAAAGTGGGCCTTCGCTTGACACTTCCTCGAAGCCCATGACCAGGAGTGCAAGTTCAAGCGGCAGGTACACGAATGGGGGGGGGTCCGGCTTCGAAGCGGAGATGTCGTTGGACACCGCGCTCCCGTATCCGCGGGGTCGCGACCCAGGGGCCCACCCTTGGCCGGAGAGTGGCCCTGCCTCCCCCCTTTCCAACCCCTCCTGGGTCCTCGCAGCCAGGTTTGAGCCCTGGTGATTGGGTCCTTCGCCAGAGAGTCGGGTTCGTATCCTGACGCGGCTGATGCCGAGGTGCATCGTAGGGGAGGAGGAAGAGGAGGAGGAGGCGGAGGAGGAGGAGCAGCAGGAGGAGGAGGGGGAGGTAGAAGGCAGGGGGCAAGCGGGAGGGAGGAGGAGGAGGCGGAGGAGGGGAGGAGGAGGAGGCGGAGGAGGAGGCGGAGGAGGAGGAGGAGGAGGAGGCGGAGGAGGGGGAGGAGAAGGAGGGAGGAGGGAGGAGGAGGAGGACGTATGACTCCCCCAAGAGAGTGGAAGGCAGTTCTCTTTTTTTCAAGACGGGGGTTTGGCCCGCACGGCAGGCCCACTGGGTGCTATGTAGGGTGCTGGTCCTGTAAGAAAGGCAGGGCGTATTGCTGCAACATCGTTGAGACATCTTGGGTGTGCTCTGGTCCTCCTCCTCCTCCTCGTACTCGTCCTCCTCCTCCTCTTCCTCCTCCTCCTCCTCTTCCCTCCTCGTCCTCGTGCTCGTCTTCTTCCTCCTCCTCCTCATCCTCCTCCTCCTCCTTCTCCCTCCTCGTCCTCCTGCTCGTCTTCCTCCTCGTCCTCTTCCCCCTCCCCCCCTTACTTTCCTGCCGTCCTTCTCCCTCTCCTTCTCTTCCTCCATGTCCCCCTCCTCCTCACCCTTCATCCCATCGACTTATCCCCTCTCCGTTTCCCCGTCCCCCTTCCTCCTGCCACTTCCCCTCCTCCTTCTCCTCTTCATCTGCCCCCCGTGCTCACAGCCTCCTCGGGGACCTCCTCGGCGCCCACGCACTGCCTGCGCAAGCGTCTCTCTCTCTCTCTCTCTTTCTCTCATTCTCTCGTTTTGTGAATATGTATATCTCTCTATCTCTCTCTCTCTGTCTCTGTCTCTCGCTCTCTCGTTCTCCCTATCTCTCTTTCTTTTTATATATCCCTCTCTCTCTCTTTCTCTCTTTTTCTTTTGTCATTTCTTCAATCGGCATGTCAACATATGCATTAACATGTACACCTGACTACATATATAGATACACACACATATGTATGTATGCATAAATATATACACACAGGGCCGGGTACCCTGGACGGACCCCTGTCGGACCCTAAACTCCCGCCCAAACGAAGTGCGGCTTTCAATGGCCTGCTGGGCCCCCTGCAAAGTGTTCACTCGGCCTTCTGGGCCTCCTGGACGCCCCTGCCTGGCTTGCAAAGCGGCCCGAAGAAGCCAGGAGTACAGCCAAACGGCCCCACAACATTCCCAAGCGGCCCAGGGCACCTGCAAGACGCCCGAAGACGACCCCCAAAACACCCCCAAGAGGCTGTACCCAAACAAGCAACACAGAGTTACATGATCTAGGTTGTCGTCTGATTTTGGAGTACTCGGTTCTTCGGTCTCCCGAGCGGCAAGGACCGCCCAAGAGGCTCCAGAAATCGCTTCAAAACCGGCCCCAAAAAGCATCACGACAACCCAAGGTAGCCTCAGGTCGGGCATGTCCTCATACAGGCGGACTTTGAGAAACATAAGCAAGCAGACCAAACACATGAAACAATTGCCACAAGAGCACGAAAAATCGTGCCCTGACTATTTTTTGACTATTCTGGAACATTCCTCCTGTGGAGCGATATGCCTGACTTAAAAATAGCCCCAGCCCAACAGGGCCCCATACGGGTCGTTCAAATCGTGACCGGGTTGTGAAGGGAGGCCGAGGTTGGCAGCAAGGCAAGGCAGCCCCAACAAGCCCCCAGAGGCCCCCAAGAGGCGTCCAGGGGATCTCCAAGGCTTTCAAGAAGTCCCCGAGAACCTCCCAAGAAGCTTTCGTGAGGCACCAAGGGGAATTTCCAACGAGGAGCCTCCGCAAAAGAAATGAAACCCGCGCAACCCCAAATGGGGGAAATTGTCCTACGTCAGCTTCTAGGCAAGGGAGACATTGCTTGGCTTTGGATGACATTGCTTTGCGCTGCTTGGCATTGTTCAGCATTGCCTCGCATTGCTTAGCACTGCTTTGCCTTGCTTGGAACTGCGTTGCATTGCTTCGCATTGCGTGTTAATGCTGCTGGACGCTGCTGAGCATTGGAGCTTTTCGTAGCACTGCTTGGCATTGCTTTGCGGTGTCTTGCTTTGTTTGGCTTTGCTCTGCTTTGCATTGCTTGGCGTTGCCTTGCATTGCTTGGCATTGCTTGGCAATGCTTGGCAATGGTTGGCATTGCTTGGCAATGCTCGGCAATGCTTGGCATTGCTGGACACTGCTGGGCATGCTTGGCAATGCTGGGTTTTGCTTGGTATTGTTTTACTTTGTGTGATTTATCTCTTCGCATTGCTTGGCATCGCTCGGCATTCGTTAGCAAGCCGGGGGGGTCTCTGCAAAAACAGCTAGAAGAAAAAAAACGAGGAACCCGGTGAACCCGAGGAACCCGGGCAAGGCCGGACGTCAAAAAGAGAAAAGAAATCACGCCAAGGAACCCGGAGGAACCTGGGAAGCCCTGGCCGGCGCAGGCCACGCACCAACCTATGATCCAAAAACAACGAGAAGCCCTTGCGGAAACAGTTCCCAGCTTAGGCTTGAACGCCTCATTGGTGAGCAAATCAGCAAAGAAACCGGAGCACGACTCGTCTTTTCTCTCTCTCTCTCTCTCATTTCGCGTGCATGCGAAATCTGAAGAACCCGGGCGCATGGCGCGATGCGCCCATGCTGTCTTGCGTAGACCTGCGTGGTGTGTATCTCTCTATTTATATACATACACACACGGGTTTGGGCTTCTGTGGGCATGGCCGAAGAAGCAACGGGGAAGGGGTCCCGCCCCCTCTGCCAGGCATCGCATACACGAGGCCAGAAATACAACTCCTGGGGACGAGCTGGGGGCAGAGCGGGCTGGGACGCCATCTGGAGAGCGGGAGGGGGCGGGAGGAGGGATGGCGAGAGGCCCAGGGAATGGAATGGCAGGTGATGGGCAAGCCAACCCCAGCGGCGCCTAGTCACCCCTCCGCCTACAGGAAGAAGATGAAGCATGCTGATGCTACTGATGCTGATGATGATGATGGTGATGATGATGCCACTGCTGATGCTGATGCTGACGACGATGATGAAGATGAGGATGATGACAATAATGATGATGCTGCTGATGATGATGATGGTCGTGATGATGATGATGACGATGCTGATGATGATTATGATGATAATGGTGGTGATGATGATGGTGGTGATGATGATGCTTATTATTATAACTAGCATTATGATGATTATGATGCTGATGATGACGTTGCGGATGATGATGATGACGACGATGCTGATGCTGATAATGATGATCATGATGATGCTGATGCTGATGATGGTGAAGGGTGATGATGATGATGCAGATGA